AGAAGAATGCCAGGAAAGACAAAAAACAATTCTACCACACACTGAACGACAACTGAAGCAGAACAGGCAGCCTGCAGGTAAAAGAGACCTCAGAACATTATATCAGATAACCAACCAATCCGGATCCGGGAGGGGATCAACCCAGATGGTGAAACCATTTAAAGATCTCAAAGGGTTTGTGACTACCGAGGAGGAAAGACAACCAAAACAATGGGCTAATCATTCCAAAAGACTGTTGGATTGACCATCACCTGATACTCGTCCAGAAATACCGCCACAACCAACAGCACGCACGGAACTGTCAGTGGACACCAATTTTCCGACGAAAGCAGAAACCTTAATTTCGATCAAGCCAGTGAACAGCGGTTGGGAAGGCAGCAGGACCAAATGGAATATCCCTTAAAGCGGTGAAAACGGACCCAGAGACTGCAACAGATTCGCTTATTCCATTATTGCGAAAATTTGGAGAGAAGAAAAGGTACCTACTTATCGGAAAAAAGGCTTTATTTTCAAGCTGCCAAAGAAGGGTGACTTACGCCCTACTGTGCAAGAAATGACTGGGATGAGAAAATTCTCTTGTCCAAGCCAAGTAAAATACTGAGTTGCGTCATCCTAAAAGAGAATGAAAGATGCACTGGACAAAGAACTCCGCCCGGGACAAGCTGGATTCAGGAAAGGCAGATCATGTGCTAGTGAAATTGAAACTCTAAGCATCGTGGTCATGGAACAAAGCGTAGAATGGCAGTCAAACCTCTACCTCAACTTCATCGACTTCAAAAAGTCCCTCACAAGACACCATTGACCGATAAGTAATTTTGAAACTGCCTCAACACTATGTCGTACCTCAAGTCTTTATCAACCTCATTCAATAGGTGGCTGGCTATCTGGCAATGCCACGTGTCAAGTGATTCACAACGGAAAACTCAGCGAGGCATTCGAAGTGAATATATGAGTAGGATAGATAAGGCTGACAATTATCACCGATGATATTTCCAGTTTTGATTGACTGAGTTATGCGTCAGACTGTACATTGAAAGTAAGAACACACGAATACGTTAGACCTATAAAAAAATATTGTAGAAGATCAGGATTTCTCAGATGATTTATATTGAATTTCACGTAAACTCGAAGACCTACAGGCGGAAGTCAACAAACTGGCAGAAGAGAATAGAAATGAAAACAGGACTCCAAGCGAACGTAGAGAAGATGAAAGTGAATATAACCGACCAACAGCAACAACAACTAGCACCAATCACCATCAGAAGGAGAGATTTGAATGAGGTTACTAACTTCACTTATCCAGCCAGGAAGTACGGTTTCAGTCACAGAAGAAACGGATGAAGATGTCAAAGCCAGCCAGCCAAAATCGGAAAGGCAAGATACGCCTTCATGAACCAGACACCAGTTTGGAAATCGTCTACACTGCATTCAGCCAGCTTAATGAACAACATTCTAATTTTCAACACAAATATGAAGTCGGTCCTTTTATACGGGTAGGAAACTTGGCCAGCGTGTCACAAAGAGCATTTTCAACAGGTTGCAAACATTTATCAACAGCTGCCCTCGCTGGCACTATACTGAAGATCAAACGACCAGTGAGAAAGGATTAGCAAGACGAAACTTTTCAGTTGGAACAAACCAACCATGAGCCGACTGACCAACAAATATGTAGAAGAAACTGGAGATTGACTGACTACATGTTAAGGAAATCATTGAATGACATCGCACTCAATGCAGACCATGGCTCAAGTGGAATCTGAATCGGAAGCGACTAATGTGTCGTCCCAGGGTGACATGGGGAAGATCGTGAGTTGGGGAGGAGGAGGAGGAGGTTAGAGATTATGGTCAATCGTGGACCCTGATGACGAGGACAGCAGAGAATAGAAGAAAGTGGAGATGTGTTGTTGAAGCCTTATGTTCCACTCGGAATGCAGGGGAATAATAAATAAATACTAAATATTAACTGGTGAAATGATGGCTTACGCACAGGTGTTTTATTTTTAAATAGTTTCGCATTGTTTTCGTATCAACTAAAGAATACAAACCAGCTATTTTCAGTCTTTGTATATACCACTAAGTGATATGAGTTGTTATAAACCACTTATGTGGAAAAATAGTGCATGTTAGCCGTTCACTGTTTCGAAGCTTGGGGTAAGAAAGATTTCTTATTGTGTATTTGTTATTAATTATTTTATTAATTTGCATCCCAAGTGTAACATAAGGCTTCAAGCTTTTAGTTTTTGAGTTTTGCAGTAGAGATAGAGTTCTTTGTACTAGGTGGTGTCGTCCAACCTCTCCCCTTTACCGTACTCACTAATAGCTCAGCTGCTGGAAATGGAATCCTAGACCACCTTCGTGGTTGGTGAGCATTCCACGGCTGCAGCAACATCAGCAATTTATGCGATGTGATTTAACTTAAAGATCTACAAAACACAAAATAACTGAACGAAAAATATCCTTTTCGATAATTTCCACTTCTGGCTCTACAGTCATATACATATGTTTATATAAATAGAATATTCTATAACAGTAGTCAATAACAACAGTAGTGTTTTTTTAATAATATCGATTTGTAAAGTATGATCAATGGAATTACAGTTCATTAAAGGTGAATAAATTATAATAATAATAAAGATATAATAGCGAATAGAATATCAACTAAAATGAGGGAAATTCCACAAAAACTGAGGATCATTCAAACCTAGATGACGAAGGTAAGGACAATGTCTGAACTCACTTCTTTTGGACACATAAATTAGGCTTCTTAATGTGGATCCCAACAGCCTCAGCAATATTTAGTAGTCGAACTCAAGGTGAAATTAATATTTGTTGGAATGCGGTAGATGACTCTGAAGCCTTGTTAACATCAATCGCGTGTTCTGTATCCACAAGATGAGATAGAATAGCACTACGAATAGCTTTTGTTTGTCCTTTACGTAATCGCACAGGGTGATGTTAAGAAATTCGATTCATTCCACTGGAATTCCAACTGTTGAGCAGATCACAAAATGTAATTTGAATATATCCGATTTCCCACATAAACTGTGGTGTATTCACAACTTTAACTGTTTAGTTTGTAAATGGCGGGTTTAACTATACTTTCAATCTTCATTACTTTCAAAGTATGTGCAATGAGAATTAAGGAGTATTATTTGATATGATGTTAAAACTGTTTTCCTTAATAATCAATGAGATATTATCAAGTGTCGGTTTACAGGGACTTGATTGGTTACAGGATTGATTCAGTTTTTTAATGGTTCGTTAACTGATCTTAGTCCGTGATCAATCCTGTCATGCGATATTAGTAAGTATAGTCTATCATGCTGCGGACGTTTCTCGCGTGGCGTATATATATATATATGTACTTTTAGCTGGTTGGTTTAGCTGAGACGTTTTCATTGTTTCTATCTGAAAATCATCTTCAGCACAGACTTTAATGCAAAGTGACCTTTCAAAATTCTTCATACAAATATCATGATATAGCGGAGATTTATCAACCGATAGGAAAGGAATTCATATAGACAAAAGGTAAACTTTCAAGTCAATAAAATAATCAGTATCAATATAAATGGACTCAAAGTTGAGAAAATCTCTAGAAACAATCGATCACATTCAAGGTTACCAAGAGAGATGACTGACAAACTTATGAAGAATACTTAAAGCCCACTTCACAGTGGAGATTGAGGTGAAGATTTTATTTCTTGAAAAAGACTATGAAAGCTATTCAGCTGAACTATTTAGCTCAGAGAACACAAATACATTAATGTCATCAACATTAGTTACAAATATTCTTCTTCATTATATCTGAATTTCCTATATCAATCACAAAGCAGTTAGTCTTCATATTTTTTATTCACAAAAAATGAAAAAGTGTTAGACTGTGTAGTGTTACCAAATCTCTTCTTGCACTTAAAATCTGAAAAGAGATGAGGAAAAGACTCTGAGTACTTATGGAAGTAGAAAAGCTTGAAAGTTTGTATATCATCAGTCTACACTCTATGGAATCAGATCAGAAAACTGATTTTTTCAATATTCAAACCATCCAGAAAAATTGAAACGACATAAACAATGTTTAATATCAGATGCACTTCATCGTGAATAGGAATGAAGAATTAAGACAAATTTTAACCTGATTCCAACACTTCTCCCTCCTCATGTAGTGGCAAAACTATAGGTTACCACTTCGTTGGACTGCTCGGACGACACTGAGCTCGTTACCGATGAGCTTCAACTAGAAATAATGCTGACGACCGTTGTGTGACCATCTGTCCTACTAGACATGAGCTGTGGTCATACTACCTGCTGACTCCTCTATCCTGACCTACCCGACCTGGCGACTTAACTGTTCTTAGCTCCCTCACTCCAACTAGAGAAGACAGAATATAACCCTGACATCTATTCAAAGGTCTATTTATTATTGATAGTATAAAGAGAATGCACAGGTACACAATCACGTCACAACACACAGTGGTGTGGTTGTTCCTTCAAAACCCAACTGTCTGATCCAGTTAGCACAGATAAATGACTGAGATTCAGTTGAATAGACGAAATTCTTTGATCCACCACAAAATCAACATGAATATGATGAGCGATTTCATTTATAATTTGAAAAGTTTATAAAATCTGACAATCTGCACATGGTTCGTTATCTTAACCAGTTCATTCGTTTGACAACACAGAATTAACTCATTCTGTAACCCTATGTATATTCTGGTTTAGTATTACTTTGATAAGGCTGTTAGCAGCATTAAATGTCGGAAAGTCAGTGAAAACAATGTTGTATGATTTTTCAGTCATTGAGAAATATAAAAAGCGTTTATAATAGTGAGTAAGATTTATTATTTTCTTTTGTAACTACACTGATCATGTTGTCTATGCTGACTTCAGAACGTTCACATTCTATACTTTGATTCTCAGAAAAATTTCAAAGTACATATATTTTAAAACACTTTAATTTGATATTTCCTTCTTTGAACATGTATTCCTTTATTAACTTAAAGAATAAGAACCAAGCGCTGAATTCAAGACAAATGTCAGGTAAACTGTTGATTGGTCAAATGAATCTCAGTCTTCTACTCCCATCTGATTCTTCTTCTTCGTCTTCTACTTCGTTATCATCAGGATTAAAGATGAACAATTTCAAGGCATCCAACACCTATTTTACTCCAATCCGTAAACCATGGTATTATGAAATTATTTTAACTAATCTGATTGTTGGCAATATGAGTTTAGTGGTGAATTGTAAAGAAGTAAGTTTAATAAGACTTTTTCTTAAATGTTCAATAATGTCAGCCGAAACATTTTATAATTTCAAGTTTGATGATGGATTGACATCAATTGCAGAACCACTGTGAGCCAAGGAGTACTGGACAGTTGTTTCGTTTTTTGTTCGGGACTCCTCAGTAGCACACATCCATGGCCCTAGCTCCAGTAATGGAACCAATGAACTTCAGGTTACTGGGTGAGCTTGTTTACCACTCAGCCATTATGACGGAATCCAGTGGCGCATCAGTTCACACTATACAATGCAACCGCTAGCAAGTGTCATCAGTCGGTACTTGTTCTCACATCGTGACTTTGTTTATTTTCCTGAATATGATTCCCCATTAGAACTTCAGGCAATTTCATTTTCTAGAAAGTCATTAATGGGCCCTAGATTAGTTCTAAACCGGTGGTTTGGCGGTAGAATGCTCTCCAGCTAGGCGATCCTTCAAGGATTTGATTCCCAGCCATCCCATTCCTAGATCTCACTAAGCCAAGTGTAAGCCCAGTATAGCAGAAAGGTTTCGCGTGAGGCTGGCAGCCTCACCCTGTGAAAAACACACCATTGCTAGTGAAGCTGAAGTTTGAAGCCCTATGTTCCGTAAGGAACGCAAAGGAACAAAATTGTAAAAACAATAAAAAAAGAATAATTTTCAAGTATTCATCTGTAGGGATTTCGTTGAAGATTGACAAGTGACGTTGGTAACTGATACCAGAGAGTGATAAAATCTCTAGAAAACCACTGGAAATTAAGGAGAATTGAAAAATTTGTTTTTGTCTTAGTTAGGAACTTCACGGAAGTACCATTTCACAATATAAAATGATACCAAACTGTTGGATCCTAACATAGCATGGCAAGCAGATTATCATTCTGTGATTTATAAACTTTCAGTACACAGATTTTACAAATATTTAGGAACAATTTGAACATCAAATCTGATTGAATATCATGCTCTTAATATTCTAAACATTCTCAGGTTGTTTTAAATAACTGTACGATTCACTCACATAGCCTTAAATATCTCCAACTTATCGTATAGAGCACACCAGCGGTTCATTATTAGAATAATCATAAATCACGCACATTTCCCGAAGTTCAACCTCCGACCTATACACACCTGAACCTCAGATAAACATTATTCCGCCTGGAAAAGAAGAAGATTGGGTTGTGAGGTTAGCAACCTCATCCTTTATAAAAAAAAATGCCTTCTCCAATAAAAGTTAGTTCAAATTTCAATACTTGAAACCTTATGTCCTGTTCAGGAAGCAAGAAAGAATAATGTAAAAATGATAAATGGAAACTGTTAAGCATGTTAAGTAAGGCGTTATTTTTTTAAATTCTCATTATCAACGGACGTAAATAATTTAAACCTATAGAAAAATATAGCTGGAAGAAATTAGTCTGCATAACAATATTACTCATACTTTCAGTTAGTAGTAACTATCAGTTATTGACATATTTTCATTGTTGTATCTACAACATTAGTTAATATCAAAAATAAAGAAATTTGAGATATCACAGTTTTCCATCAAGAAATAGTTTTATTTGATAGAACACCCAGTGATACAGTATTATTTATTGATTACCTTTCGTGCACAGTTTATTGCTCATAGTCATATAAAGCTACTTGCATGACTTGCATAGCTGTATAGGCTAAGTAACACTTTTTGACACAATTAGACAAATTAATCTGATGCTGACTAGTGACTTAGTACAGTATGGAGTTTCCTGGAGTTCTAGTGAGAAGTCGTGACCAGTGACATCCATCCGTTTAAGTGTGAGGATGAATGTCCCACTGATAACATGGGTTCGTAGTCACCCTAAATCGTGAAGTTAGAATTTATGGGGTGACCAATGGATTGGGTCCCAGTGACTGAATGGTACATGAGATTACCTTGTAACCAGAAGGTCCTGGATTCGAACTCTGGCAGTGGGTACGTACTGCTGATGATTCGCAGACTGGGATGAAACAGCTGTCTAACTGATATCAATCCGTGATCAACTCATAAAAAATAATGTTAACTACAAATTACCTTACAATGACTGTAACGTTTTTGATTATACACTAATAACTGCCTTGATGTATCTAGTCCTTTCTTTGGTTCAGACTGAATTCTACCAGTCAGGTTTGCAATGTGGCCAACCATTCTAGGTAGCCATAACGGTCCATATTGATATGATGATATTAGATGGTTGGAGGCAATCGAGAGGAAGTCTTGCTTGACCTAGATTTCGTGCTAGTTACAACTCACTAGTCAGCAAGTCGTATCTGCTCAGTGGTAATGTCTATGACTGCAGGTGACACTGGTGACGTGGATTCGAATCTCAGAAGCGACATGAGTTCCTTCAAGGTTTCAGATACGCCTTGCTGACAGGTGATTGCCAACTAGCACGAAACCTAGGTCAAGCAAAGCTTCTTGCAGCCAATTGCATCCAACCATCTAATATCATCAAGACTGTAACGTTTACCAAGTGTCTCAAACGAGAAGATTGGGCAAATCGGATTATCGGAATGTAAGAGTTTAGCCCTTTGTAGAATGACTGACCTTAAAAAACATGATTAGGTTAAAAGAAAGCTCAGCAGTTGCAATCAATGTGCTAACACGCAGTCACACAATGCAGCAGGACCGAGTTAGAGTTCCAAGAAGTAATATAAGCAGGTGGGAAGAGAGGTTGATCATCGAATCAATACCTAATATATGTAACAGGAATAACGCAACACGGAAATACCATAGATTTGAATCAAAGGATGAGAAATAATTGAATTATATAAACAAAGTTTGTAAATTGTGTTTGTGTGCGCCTTAATATGATTACGAGAAATAAACTGTTTTCAATACGTCAACAGTAAATAATATTGTACCACTGTGTGTTTTATCTAATATGATTATTCTAAGCTGGATATTACAGTTTGCCAATAGTGACCGAATTAAATTCTCATAAAACTATAATATACACTGGTTTTCTGAGTTCATGCAGAAAAAAAAGGATTTTAATTCAGATTTCCTAATTACAGAATAAGCTTACTGACTCTTTCTTCTGGATGGGAGTATTAACACAAACAGAATTGATGTATACTTTTGGATCTTTGAGTTTAAACGTATTGATTTAAAACCTATATTATGTGATGCGTAAAACTTAGGCAATGTGGAAGTATGTAATTCTACAATAATTTGGTTTATTGAATATATCTATCGCCCTACAATGATTATCAAGTCAGACGAATAATTCAGTGTAGTAGGTCAGAGCCGTTTTTTTCAGCGAAAATGAATGATGGCACAATCGAAAGATCTATATTTAGAAAGTCCTCTTGGACAGAACACTACATGCATTTCAAGAGTTTTGTTCCAATCCAGTATAAAATGAACTTAGTCAGAACACTGTTCAATAGAGCACTAAAAATCTGTTCTGAAAGTACTATTGAGCATGAAATAAAAGCTTTGAAGGATACTGTATCTAGGAATGGATATCCTGAGAAGTTCATTAATAAATACTCTAAAGAAATTAGCCTCTGCAAAACAATCCAAACAGTTCCGAAGAAATCTGTCTATATCATTTTGCCATTCAAAGGAGATGACGCGCAGGAAGTCGTCAAACGAAGACTCGATAAAGCTGTCAAGAGAACTTATTATGCTGCAAAACGTGTTTTCCTTAACACCACCATGCGAGTGCTTCAACAATCTGGGAAAGACCAGTCGCCAATCCTGGACACTTCAAACTGCGTATATCAATTTGAGTGTGTTTGTGGAAGCAATATATAGGTCGTACGGAAAGGCGATTGTCTACTCGCATGACGCAGCATTTGCCAAAATGGTTGAAAACAGCTGCTGAGTGCAAAGTCCCAAAATCCTCAATAACAAAACATCTTGTGAATTACGGACACGATATCGACGCTGTCAAGTCATTCACTATTGTCAGCAGACAAAGAAACAAGAAGATGCTTCCAATTGCAGAGGCTTGTGCAATTCGAGTTTATAAACCAGGTCTCTGTGTACAAAAGGAGATGGTCGTCACTCTAAATCTACCATGGTAATACGTTTTACTTATTATTCTACCTCTTATTATTATTATCATCATTATTACCATTATAACCATTGGTATTAATATTACTGTTTGCGATTCTTGTTATATTCTCTAATGTCTAATTGTTTATCTAAGTGATGTAATCGAAGCGTAATGCAATTTATCTTAATTTTGATCTCTCATACTCTCTCTTTCCCCTTATCTGTTTGAACATGACTTGGAAAACATTCTCACCTGTCTTTCTGCATGACTGATTCAATGTAGTTTGTTTACTTATCAGTCTTAAATCTCCCTATGTAATTTCAAAAGTATATATATCCTTGTATGTGGAGTATTCAGCTGACGAGTTCTGCCGAAATTTGATGAATTCATTAAATCCTGCTTTATTAAACTTTATTGCTTGTTTTAAATTCGTATCGGGAAATAAATGTTTTCAAGAGTCAGTTAGATTAACACAGTACAAAATGCTAGTGGAATTTGGACTAGTATACTCTTTTAAAATAAGAAATCTATAAAAAAACCCTCAGATTTGTCATAACATACACGCCATTGTCTAATACGATAGGATAAAGTGACAATCTAGGGAGTTTATAGACAGACCGATAACTGAGCATTTATTTAACCAATTAACTGAGAATACATGGAATAGCAATGATTCGAATATCTGTCCTGGACATCTGGAGAATTCGACAACCCTTGCAACAAATGGGAAAGAAGAATGAGAACTATATAAATCAAGTTTCGAAGTAGTGTAGTTATAGTTGGCGATGTGATTATGAATAATAAAATCTAGACTAACTAATTCATGTGAAATGAAAAGGAAACTAAATAACATTCAAATAGAGAACAATAAAAAATGGTTAGTCTTGATATAGCTAGTCTTAGCACTAATATACCAATCAATATGGCCTTAGGAGTGGTCGAAAGAGAACTAACTTCTGATCCCAAACTTAGTCATAGGACAGAGCTGCCCATTGAGACGATATTTTAGGAATTCAGTTATGCCTCGAATCTACTGTCTTTAAATTCCAGGAAAAAATCTATAAACAAACAGATGGTGTAACAATGGGATCACAAATATCCCATACCGTTGCAGATATCTTTACGGACAGCTGGGAAAATATTGCTCTAAATACATTTAATACTACTTCGAAAATGTGTCAGAGATATGTGGATGACTTTTTCACAGTGTTAAATCAGAACATATCTCTAGCTTCTTCACACATATAAATTCACTAGTAAAGGGGAAAAAATTCACGTTTGAATCGTAAAACAAACAAGTAGAAATACCTATGTTAGAGTGTAAAATAAAACAAATAGAAAAAGGTAAACTGCACACTAGCGTTTATAAAAAGCTAACGCATTCTAATATATATTTAGACCCTAATTCGTCTCATCCATCATGATCTCTAAAGGCAGGCTTAGTTAAGTGGTGTCTAACAAACTGAGCAATAGCACTAAGTAGCACAACAAAAAAACTAAATGATGAAATGAAACAGATAGAAGAAGAGCCTTTGGTGTTAAATAACTATCTAATAAAATTCATTAGGAAGATCAAAGGAGGTCAGAAGCAAAATCACATTAATGGTGAAACTAAGAATGATAACTTAAATAGCAGAGAATATTGGACATCTGCAGTTTTACTATATGAGAAGGGGACATCTGAGATCCTCTCCATGTAGGATTCTCAATAAAGCAGGAATTAGACCGGCAGTCAAATCTACAAACTCACTCAGGTAGGAAAAGCTATGTAGGCTAAAGGGCACTGTTGATGGACCTAATTCAACAAAATAATATAGTTCACAAAATACCTTGCAATGGCTGTGAGTTAAGTCAACCACATACGTCAGTCAAACTAGTAGATGGGTGGGGAGTAGTGAGATTATCAGAACATATGAACTGAGTTAAGGTTAGAATGACTGACCCTACCAGAGAAGATAAGTGATTTAGAGAAAAACTCAACAGTCGCACTGCATGCATTAACACACAATCACACAATAAGGTTGGTAGGACCGAGTCAAAATTCTAAAGAGTATTATGGGTAGGTGGAGAGAGATTGATTACTGAATCCTGCCCGGTTCATTGTGTCTTCACACAACACATGCAACAGAAATAACGCAAAGCAAATACCAGATGTATGGAAGATATTCTTACCAGTCAAATCAGGAAAGGATGATATATAATATCAAAATGTATTCACTTCACATTATAACAGGTTACTTAGTTTTACTATAAAACATCTTATTTCCCATCTGATTGTATTTGATTGATAACACAAATATTATTTCTGAACGTACTTTATCTTATGTTGATTCTATTCAAATGTATAATCATCAATTTTTACTCATGTATATAAACGAATGGACAAAGTTGTGTGACTGACTTAATATGATTATGAGCGGCAATAAACTGTGCTCGAAGTGTGGTCATTTGTAAATATTACTGTATAATACTGTGTGACTTTATTAAAATGAAATTTTATCCATTATGGAGTTATACTCTACCACAGTGCCCAAGTTTCATACTTATAACAATAAATTATGTCTGAAACTTTGTCATTCAGTAAATAATACTCTTCCAGTGTATGTTGACATATCCAAGTGAAACCAGTATGATATTATGTTGACAATCTTTTTTGTCTTTTTTCCTAGCTGAATGTCGATAAAACAATTATTGATAGTGGAACAACGAATATATATTTACCAAAGAATATTTTTCACCGATTAGTCGATGTTATGAAAGTAAAGGTGAATGAAAATCCTGCACTGGCTGAACTTGCTTCTAAAACTTCATTTTGGCATGGGAAACGAGCATACTGTTTAAGTGTAACCACTGAAGACAGTAAATTACAATTATATAAATCATTTCCACAAATTGAATTCCATCTGGTTTCAAGTATAAATACGTCGAATCAGATACTTTCATTAACTTTCTCTCCACAAGTAAGCTATTAGTTCCTATTTGGATGATTTTATTATTACTGTGTTGTGACAAACATTGTGTTGTATAATTTAACGATTAAAAGTGTATGTGACATAAGAATGGCGTTGAAATGGTATAACTTTGTATAAAATCATGTTCATATTCCTAGCTGAAATGTTCACCTAGAAGCTGAGGACGGTTAACACGGAAAATAAAAGTTGCCGCGCGTAAGACTGTGACGACTTTTTTTCGATTTTAAGGAAAAATGTTTTGTTACAAACCAACACTAGCTATTGATAAAAGTATAAAACTTGGGCACTGTGGTAGAGCATAACTCCATTATGGATCAGATTTTATTTTGATAAATCACACACTGTTGTACAGTAATGTTAACTGATGACGTTTCAAGCACAAACTATTGCCACTCATAATCATATCAAGTTACTCACACAACTTTTTCCTTCATTTATATATATATATATATATATATATATAAATCAATATAGGATATATGAGAGCCTATGAGTAGTTGTGGGACCAGCTAAAGAGGACTGCACAAACTATTGCTCATAATCATATCAAGGCACTACTCACACAACTTTCTTCCTTCATTTATATACATGTGTGGAATTGACTAGATATTTGAATAAAAATCAATATGAGATAATGCACATTCAGAAATAATAATATGAGTGTTATTGATCAATTACAATCAGATGGGAAATAAGACAAGTATTTTTATAGTCATAATAAGTAACTTATATATATCCAAACCAAGTTCACTTTTAACGGTCTGAAAAAATTTGGGCATTGGGTATATGATATTCATTATAATAGAGGTTTTTTGTATTTCCCAATGAATGAAAAAAAATCTCGTTTTGTTTTTTCATTCATTGGGAAATACAAAAAACCTCTATTATAATAAGTAACTTGTTAGAATATTGTGATGCACTTGAATTGAAGCAGAATTTTGAGATTATTTATTATCCTCTTCTGATTTGACCCGTGGTAATAATATCTTCCATATTTCTGGTATTTGCATTGAGTCATTTCTGTTGCATGTGTTGTGTTGGGTGTAGACTCGATGAACGGGAATTCCGTAATCAAGCTCTCTCTCCACCTACGTATATTACTTTTTTAGAATTTTAACCCTATCCCACCCTATTGTGTGGTTGTGTTAATGCATGCACTGCTATTGCTGAGCTTTTTTCTAAATTACTTATCATCCCGGGATCAACCATTCTTACCTTAGCTAAATTCTTATGTCCTGACAATCTGACTACTCTCAACCTACTAGTTTGACCTATGTAGCTGACTTAACTCACAGGTATTTCAAGGTATCTTATAGGCTATATTATTTTGTCTAATTGGCTCAACAGGGTCCTTTAACCTACAGAGCTTGTCCCTGAGTGAGTTTGTAGGTTTGAATGCCACCCTTATTCCTGCTTTTTTTAGAATCCTACGTAGGGTCTCATATGTCCCCTCCTTATATGGTATAACAGTAGGTGACTTATATTCTCTCTTATTTATGTTATCATTACTAGTTCCACAATTATTTTTATTTTGTTTTTGGTCTTTACTGATCTTCCTAATGAATTTTATAGGATAGTTATTTAAAACCAACGCTTCTTCTATCTGTTTTATTTCGTCATTTAGGTCTTTTCTTGTGCTATTTGGTGCTATTGCTCGGTTTGTTAGACAGCAATTTACAAAGCCTGCCTCAACAGTTAACGGATGAGATGAATTAAAGTTAAATATCTATTAGAATACGTTGGTTTTCTTCAAACACTAGTGTGTAGTTTACCTTCTGTTCGTTTGATTTTACAATCTAACATGGCGAATTCTTCTTGTTCATTTTCCGATTCAAATGTGAATTATATCCCCTTCACTAGTGAGTTTATATGCGTCAATAGAGATACTAGAGATACTTTCTGTTTTTAACACTGTGAAAGTGTCATCCACATACCCCACCACATCTTTGGATTGGGATTAAATGTTTTTAGAGCAGTATTTTTCCATCTGTCAATAAAGATATATGCTATGATATAGGATATTGGTGATCCCATTGCTGCACCTTCTGTTTGTCCAGTTAGATAACCATTATTAACCAAGTAGAAGCTCTGGACAGTTATTTCTTCCCATTGTGATACCCATCTGTTAGTGACAAAAAGTACTTTGAAGTAAATCGACTCCTGATAATCGAACTTTCATCATGGACTAACTAGAGGATGAATCCCCTAGCACAAGGGCAGATATTAGTCAATGATATTAGAATGCTGTGGCGCTAAATCGCAAAGCGAATTCCGATAGGTAAATAAATATCTTAAAACCAGAAAAATCACTTTCATGAATATTACGTCTAAATAACTATTCAAATAATTTAATTTAATTTAGATTTTCCCGTCGATTAATTGAACCGAAGTTCTCGCTCTAAGGTTGACTTGTCAGCTTTTTGTTGAGATGCTTCGGCGATGTCTTGGCATGTAATTAGAGGCTAATTGGCGAATGGCGACTAGCAGTGGAATCCAGGATGCGCATTCTGTCCTATTTGGGACTCGTCATCTGGATGTACCTGTATTTCACAGTGGCTCCCGCGGCCCAAGTAGCCTAGTAGATGAGGCTTTAGCGTTTGAAACTATGGACACTTGGTTCGAGCTCGGTGGGAAATGCAGGTGCATCCAGTGACGAATCACAAATAGCACGAAATGCGCATCTTGGATTCCGCTGCTAGCCACCATTCACTAATTAACTATTGAAATATCTTAAGAAAACCTCCATCTTCAACTTTTTGTCGGTTTATATTGAAAATGAAAATGAGACACTCTGTTTGATGGTAACTAACAAAGAAATCCAAGACGCGCGTCTCGTCAGCTGAACGTAGCCAAATTCTCAGTGGGTAATGACGTACCCATTAAGACTCGAACCTTGAGCCCATCTTTCCAAACATCAAAATGTTATCCTAGTTGCTGAGCGTCTGTTTTATGAGCCAACACGTTGATAGAGATCGAGTATTTCGGTCTAATATAATCAGTCAACGAGGAATACCAGTTAACTTAAACAATATTGACCAAAAACGTATATCGTGTGTTGACAGCCCAAAACTACATATCCTCACTTTATGCTTTTTTGTTTAATATTTTGGACATTATTATGAGTTAGTTATAATGTTATATTCTCAGTAAAACTTCACTATTATGTTATTGTCATCATGGGCTCATAAAGGGGTGAAAAAGTTTTGAGATCATACATATTATCAGTATATCTAAATAGATGGTATCATTTTAGAATGATTTAAATATTATTAAAGTATGAATTGAATTTATCCTGACTGTTATTATTACAGTCGGACATTGTTTTGATCCTGACGCAAATACCATCGACTTGTATAAGACAGCAGACAACTACTCTTATCAGACAGTAGTGCATATATACTGTGTTCACACTAGTTTATACATTTTATCTTAATTTCACATCATTAACACAAAATACCTATAATTTGAAAATTAGGCTAAACTTCAGACATTATAATGAACTCTTAATATAATTAATAACCTAGAATGTAACAAGATATCTTAATTTAGATGGTGAGAACACTCACTGATAAATGTATGCGTAACATAAATATTGAATACTTGAATACTGTTAAATCTTATACAATGTAAATACCTTAGTAAAGGCTAACTAACGCATCGGAACTTTGTGTCTGAAATGTAACTATTTAAACTTTCAAACGAACAAAGAACACTAAAAGAATTCAATCAAGAATACCTCCTCAGCGAGTAAAATTCAACTTCAAAATGTAACAAGTTTTGTGTGTGTGTTTTGAGGAATGCAGACAGCCTTTTTTGTTTTTACAAATTGATCACGGCTTGATATCAGTTAGAGAGCCATTGAAAACCAGCAGGTAGTACTGAACAGTGGGAAGAACCTGAAAGAAACAACCTCCTTCACCTACCTGGGAAGCATCGTCTCAACTACAGGCGGAACTGACGAGGACATCAAAGCCAGAATCGGAAAAGCAAGACAAGCTTTCATTACTCTCAAATCTGTGTGGAGGTCAACAGAACTCAGAATCAAAAATAAGATCCGGATTTTCAACTCCAATGTGAAGTCAGTGCTACTTTACGGATCAGAGACTTGGCGAGTCATAAAGAGTACCTCAAACAAACTTCATTAACAGCTGTCTTCGCTCAATACTCAAGATCAGATGGCCGCCAGAAAAGATCAGCAACAGGGATCTCTGGGAGCGAACCAATCAGGAACCGATTGTGAAACAAATAGGCAGAAAGAAATGGAGATGGATTGGCCATACTCTGAGGAAACCATCAAGTGACATCACTAGACAAGCCATCACTCGAGTGGAACCCGAAAGGGAGGCGGCGAGTTGGTCATCCAAGGGTGACTTGGAGGAGGTCATGCGAGGAGGAGATGAAAGCATGTGGACAGACCTGGAGCAGGGTGAAAAAGTTGTCAGAAAACCGAAGGCAATGGAGGTGGGCAGCTGAAGCCCTATGTTCCCTAGGAACTAAAGGATACAATAATAATAAGTATGAACAACTGTTTCGTCAGCCTAGTTTGGGAATCATCTCAAGTACGCACCCACCACAGTGGGGTTCGAACCCAGGATCTTCCGGTTACAAGGCAAGCTGGCTCGTTGGGGTCGTGCTAAATCACAAATTGGTAGAAGTTAGAGTTCATGAACTGGCCACTGAATCAGGTCACAGTGGCTGAATGGTATACGAGCCAACTTGCCTTGTAACCGGAAGGTCCTCGGTTCGAACCCCACTGTGGTGGGTGCGTACTGGCGATGATTCCCAAACTAGGCTGACAAAACAGCTGTCCAGTACTCCCTTTGGCTGGTTTTCAATGATTCTCTAACTGATATCAAGCCGTGATCAACTCGTAAAAACAAAACAAACCCTTACAAACTAAACTATAGAAAACAGCCTTTTTTGTCGTATAATAAAGTGACACGAAAGATATATGTTACAGTGTTATGTAAGTATTTCGTTTTAATTGA